ATTGAACTTATATTTGATTTTCTCCTTTTTTTTTTAAAAAAAAAAAGAAGACATCAAGCATACCTTCAGCAGGCTCGTTGCAGTCCTTCATTAGCCAAAATCTATGCAGCTGGAAGCATCACCTGAGGACAGCCAGCAGCAGCTATCTAATATACACGGCTGTTACAACACTGCAAGCCAATTAGAAGAGATGGTGACCAAATACACAACTATGCTTCACCCTTTCTGTTCGCAAGGAACAACACTCCAACATTTCAAAACTGGATTTCTGGTGGAACATGAGAGGCCCCACAGACCTTATAGGTCGTAGTGCTGGTTTTGGTTTTTGGGTTTTGTTTTTTTTTTTTTATTTTGACCAAGCATTTGTTATGGTGCTCTTACATGGCAAAAAGATTGCTGCTTATGGGCAATGACAACATCCAAACTTGCAACTGCACTGAATTTCCACTATAATGACCAGAACTATTGTGGAACAGATGGGACTTGGTCTATTCGATCACATCCCTCACTACATTAGCACCTCCGCAGAGGACAGCCTGCTCCCTGCCCCTGGTAATTCCCATATTCCTGAAGTAGCGATCAAGCCTGGCAGGTTTTTCCTTACTGTGGAAGAGGTGTCTTTAACAAGCTACCTAAAACACAGTGCTGGTCTGCTAGGTATGCTGTCACCTTTGTAAGGCATGTACTAACTCAACTTTGCTCTTCAATTGCCAAGAAAACCTGGAGATAAATGAAGCCGCACTAGCAAGCAAAAAGGTGGCACTCTTCCTCCCAAGCTGTTCCTGAGCTCCAGGATGATGACAAAGACGATGCCTTGGGAACAGTCATCCCACAGAAGAGATCCCTCACGAGTTAAAAACTTCTCACACAGCTTCCCACAAAGAACAAAGTTCCTTCCCATGAAGAGCTAAGCAAGCACAATGAGCAATCAAGGGAGAGAGATTATATTATTAGAGAGATTAGATTATTATTTTGCTATATTAGCAAAATAACATATATTGATTTATACCTTCTCAGTTCAGTTTCTCAGGACTTTTTGTTATATCAACTTTTTAAATGAAGACTTCCCAACTCTTCAAGACTGCCTATGGTGTTCTCCTCAATCAAAACTACCATCCCTTTTTGTTTTCCCACAGTCTAATATCCAAGGAGTCAAGCCAACAAAAATGACAAAGAGCCCATTAAGTCCCCAAAAGTTTCAAGCATCCCACATGACAAGTTCAGCAGGTTCCCCATACCATCTTCACACATCTCTCCATTTAGGACTTGATTCCAAACCAACTGAAATCACGAGGACCAGGCCTTGTGACACATGGCCCTAGCTCCATTTCTTCCAAGCAACAAATAAGTTTATTACTGGCACCATCCACTCCATATCCTATCTCCTATCACTGCCTAAAGGGAAAAAGTTCCAGCTGTCTTGAAGGAGACTGCTACCTCAAAGACAAGCAAAGCTATTAAGGATTCACAACTACAAAAAAATCTGCCCTCAGCAATACACACCTTTAGAAGTTATTTTCTAAGAGTTCATTTTACTACTAGACTTCCTGGCTACAGATCAATCTACCAAAGAGAGTCAGGAAAAAAAACCACATACATAATCACACTTTATATGAGAATGAGCTACTACTATGAACAAGAAATCTCTTTGCTGCTAATTGGGAAATAGATTTAAACAACATCCAAGATCCCACACAGACAAATACAGATACTAGACAGATTCCTTAAACTGAAACAAAACACTATTCCTTAGCACAGATAAGGAAAATAATTCATACAAACAGATGTTGGCATAAAGTAAATAGGTGAAAAAACAAGTTCCCATCTATTCTAACAATCATCAACACATCACGGAAGAGCTGACCGGGTTCAGGCATTCAGGAGCCTCACACCACACTTCTGTGGCTGGAAAGAGGGCTAATTCCCACACTGATTTGCATTCATTATATTTCCTTCATTGTCTACTGAAACATTGGAATAGCTATTCATTGTACATGCAAAACAATGATGTATCCCTTACAGCAGTGTTTATGTGTGGCTTGATTCCAGCAGAGTTATGTTTTCAAATCCATGACGACCTAATGATCAGGAAACAAACACCAGCTATACAAGGGTTTTTATTGTAAGAATTGTACCAATAAAGTCTTGTGTAGGTTTCTACAGAACCCACATGTTGTACTTTATGCATATAAAACCTATCGGACAATCTAAGATTACTTGGGGAGATCCAGGTTATCGGCAGAATGTCATCTCACCAACATGTGGACTGCATGAGAATCCCAGAGAATACACCAAGACTCACATACACAGTATTATCAACAACAAAAACATACACCTTGCTACACCATCACTCTGTTCTTTCATTACCTTTATGTAAACCATTTGTGAAAGCATGGCCACAGTACTTTTATTATTTCTAAACATATAAACATGTTAGTTTAAATGTTTATCACATTTCAGAAGAAATAATCGCTTATTTAAAATGTGAGAGAAAATAAACATCTGGAGACAAAAACAATGAATGAGATGCCATTGGTCTCATGCAAAGAAGCTTCCTGTGTTAAGTCTACCATGAGGCAGAGATTTAAGGCTGGTCTGCATTGACTGTATTATTTAAATCTAAAGGATAAATCACTAATTCTTTATACCTCCAGCCCAAGCAGCAACCTCCCATCTTCACCTCTGAGAGAACATTGAAATTATTTCCTTGAAAAATAGTCCAGATCTTCAATTGGTGCTCCAGGTATTGCTTAAAACTGTTTCCATCGTCACAACATTAAGCAACATTTTAAATCTTCCTGTTATGAGGCAACATGAAGGAAAGATGGCATCCATTATTCATGTTTTCTGAGAGCAACCCAGTGTTAAAAAACCCTTTGTAGCTTACTGTATACCAAAGACTTCAAACTATTTACATGAGGGGGTGTGTGCTTCCAAACAGCACAGAAAGAGGACATTAAAATACATGGCATTTGCACAAATTGCCCATTTACATTCACGGGTCTAGAGGGTAACTGAAAATACAGAGTATCCAAGATGGTAAGTCTATTAGGGACAGTCGTTCCTACACATTGTTCTGGAAGTATCCAATGTTGTTGCTACAGCAACAGCACGTACAGCCTTGCACAACCTCTGGACGGCTGGTGGGTGTACCCTGATACAATCTCCTCTTCCTTGAAAGTGGGATACAGCAGCAAGTCCGCCTACCCACCACTGCATCAGTTACACAGAGTCTGTGATACAACCCAGGAAAACCAAGGCTTGATAAATTTGTAATATTCAAAAGAGAAGAGAAAGCACAAACATACTTGCATCCTCTAGGATGTTTGTGCCTCTAGAACCTGCATAAAAGCAGTGTCTGCTACGCAGTCTGAAAGGGTTCCTTAAAACTCTCTATTCCTTTCCAGTCACACGGGAATGTTAGAAAAACCTCCCTAATTCCAAGATTGGGTTTGCTGTTACAAGTAAAAACATAGTTAAAAGCAGCATAAGGAAAGCATGAGGAATTTAAATAAAATAGACAACCCTTCTCCAGGCTGAAAGGCTTATGAATTATGCTCACTTACAGCTAGTTTTATATTAGATATTTTAACATGTCCTTTCATTCAGCCAGGGTGCCATGAATCCCACTTGTTTATAACAGCTAGATCTGAGCTGCTAAATATATAATACAGCAAAAGAAGGGCAGCAGCGTTCTCGGAATAGAGCCAAAATACTTAACACTATCTTTAAAACCAAGTGCTATCAACTGACTTCAGGAGTAGAATTTCTCAGGATAGCCACTTTAAAGAAAAACATCTGTAAAACCTTATTACATGCATTAGGAAAGTTGTCTGATGAGCTAGAAAAGGAGAAATATATTGACAATAAAGAGTACATAGTATTTGCATGTGATCCAAAGGCATGAAGTAAAAATAATTTTTCAAAATGATGAAGGCTTTGGGATGAAGCTACCTATCAGGTGGCAGCATTTCAAAAGACATGAGATAAGAGAACTTTGGAAGCACCATCCACGGTTTGGGGCTTGAAATACTGAATGACTCCTGATGGAGAAATCCAAGAGAAAAAGGCGAGGAGGAAGACAGCCGCTGGACTGGGTGACAAACCATCAGGGGTGTAGAGTGCATCTGTGAGTCATCAGCACATAATAGAAGTTGAAACCATGTGAACGTGTAAAATAGGGCATGGGGAGACAAGAGCAAGACAAGGTCAAACTGCGGGAGGAGGAGGAAGCGCTGAACGGGGAGTGGGGAAGAGTATCATGAAAGAAAGAAAAACAAGACCTTAGAAGCAGCATTGACTGTGCAAAGAGGTCACAGAGAACAAAACAGGGGTCTCCAAATATTTCAGTGACATAACTAATGTGTAAACAGACAGAAGCACCCAAAATGGGCACAGAACAGAAAAAGCTGAGGTCGAGGTTTTACAATTTCATGTTGTAAGAGGGACTAGACTTGGCTGAGAGCTAGAACAAACGAAAAAGAGTGGGGAATGGGAGTAAAAGGTCCAACAGAGTACAGTATGCCAGCATACACTACTGTATAGGATAAGTAGGTCACTAAGGAAAAGCCCACATCAACAGAAGCAAGAGCAAATGAGTTAACAGGTCAGGATTGGACCTGAAGTCTTCTACATGCACCTACACTTACACTTAGTTTCATGCATGTCCCATAGGCAACAGAGACAGAAAAGCAGGTTTTTAAAAGTAGAAAATAAATCCCTCTGGAAAGCCAGCCTGGAAAACTGACACTGACAGAAGGAGGAAAAAAATTCACAGCATATGTGACACCAGCTGCCTCTGGAAATATTCTTAAACTTTATGAAAAAGGGACTTACCCATCCAAATAAAAATACAAGCAAACTAGAGCAAAGCTTCTCAGAAGCTACTGATTACAGAATTTATAAAAAAGCAAAATTAAGATTAATTTGGCAAACTGCAATGCTGTCACGTAGTCTAAAACCTAGCACTGAAGAGAAAAAAAGATACAGGACAGACATATGGAGATCCAAAATGATGGTGAATCTTAGTCTCATAGCCTCCAGGGCAGACTTCTCATCTTCTGTGTATTTTGCAAGTACAGCTAGATGGCTTATCATCTTCCTGAGACTAACAGGATCAATACGTAGATGAGGAAGCTTAATAAGGATAATAAAATTACGACAGCCAAAATAATCTAATTTAGGTAGTGCAGATAGGCTAAACAACACATATGCTACAAATAAAAGGGGAAACATTTACCAAGTGACAGTTGCCAGCATAATATTAACAAAGAAACCTTCTAAATTTATTTTAAAAAAAAAAAAAAACAACAAAACAACCCTGGACTGTCTTTATATTAAAAAAAAAAAAACACAAACAAAAAAACAACAACAAACCAAAAAACGGTTTCAGCACAAGTCTCCTTAGAGAAAATAAATTATAAAAAATTATTCAGGTGTGCAGAAGGCCATACTCCATCACATACAGCATGTGTGAGAGCCTTTGGGACTTGAATGGGTAAATATACATTCAAAAATTTAAATATAAATTGAATGCAAAACCTATATGGCATATAAAGTTGGAAAACAAAAAAAGAATCAAAAGAAAATAAGCACACCAACCCTGACACTCGCCACCCCCAGTGAAACACCAGCTGTCCAGGCTTGCTGGCTCCAGCCACCCCACAGCGGGTTGGTCTGTGTCCTCCTTGGGTCTCCCCTTCCCCAAGGACATCTGAAGTCACTGACTGATTTGAACCTTACTTAACACAGGACAGAGGTCTCAAAAACATTAGTCTCCTGCACTTCAGTGAAAACTGGATACACCAAGAGAGCAGAGCTGTCCTGCTCCCACTGCACAAAGTGCTTTGACCTGTCCCATCAGACATGAGACTGACACCAGATGAGGCCAAGTCCTTGGAGCTTACCCAGCCTGGGGAAGAAAGAGCAATTGCAATCTCAAAGCATAAACCCATGGAAGACATCTCTTCCAGAACTGCTTGAATTTTAAGTTCCTGTATTCTAATGCCCAAATAGAACTTGTTTTCAGAAAAAAAAAAAATTAGAAAAAAAGGCAACTAGCCAAACTAGTTCTCCTACCAAAAATTAGTAATCGCTTTAGCTGTAACGAGTGCTTGTTTCCTCCACAGCAAAGGCTGCCTTGCTGCTTTTCTCCCCTCCTCCTTCACCCCATCAGTCTTTCTCTCACAAGCCATCTGAAATTTTTTAATTGCAAGAGGTCATGAACCCCTGAATTCTCCCCATTGTTTTGGGGAAACAGTTTCACACTGGTAATGGGAAAACTACAAAGAGCTTCTACCTTTTTTTTTTTTTCCCCCCTTTAATGCAGAAAGTAAACATTGCAGAGCTCCATTCTTAAGACTATCCATAGGGTTCCCATGAACAACAAATGTTGCTTGTTATTAACTGACAACATCAATTGGATTTCCAGGGATATATGATCATAAAAGAAAACTTAAAAGGAAGAAAGAGCCAGCCTTAAATCCAAATATTGTTGTGGCAGCGATAATTGTCAGAAGCAGTTTCAGATGCATTGAAACAACTCATGTTGTTGTGCTCCTTGATTAGTTTATGTCAATAGGGGGGTGTGTAGTCATATGGAAGCTTTTAACTATAAATAAATCACCACAAATATTTTGCCCTGGCATACTTTGATTTAAACTACCCACTGGCAAACTGTATGGAATCCAGTCATGAGAATTTCTTGCTGCTTAAGGAAACCTTCCCATTTATGCACCTAAAACATATGCAGGATCAAATCGAGTCTCTGCAGTTTCAGCACAGATTAACCCAACTAACAAAGCACGATGCTGTCTGCAGATGGAAGAATCATTCATGTGTGAATCCATTTCAAAAGATGCAACAACACAAGTGGCTTTTCCAAGCAAGGCAGAAATAGCATGTCTAAGTCACTTTTAGGTATCACTTTAGCAATACGTACCAAACCAACAACAGATTTGTGGCTGGCAAGGGCGTGTTGTAACTCTAGTTTAGAAGAGAACAGCTGTCCGGGAGCCCGGATCACGCAGCTCTCCCAGCAGCCCAGCAATTCCCAGTGCCAAGGCACAACACCCATGAAGCCAGCTTCCAAACCATGACACAGACAAAGACTTGACACTATGCAGAAAGAGAATAAAATTAACATTCAGAGAAACATTATTTGGGAACAAGTTAGGTGGTCAACTTTAGAGTGAAAAAGGGAAATAAGAACCTAAACCCTAATCTGGTTTACCCTCTCCTACCATTTTGTACTTGTGCATGGCCTGTAAAGAAGATAGTAATGTACTGGATCACCTGGAAACTAAAGCCACACAGTCATTTCAGATCTCTAAGTAACCAGTCGTGATGAAATTACACCAACATGCACAAATTTAAAGCTGTAACACACACATTATTTTCACAAGGGCACTCATGACACATCTGTCCCATTTTCTTAATAAAACATTACAAAACATGCCTTTTATCTATCACATGGATAAAAGTCAGTTCCAATTAGGACACTCATTGTTTGCATACAGGACCTACCATGGCAGCTACACACTTAAAGACTTCAAGATTAATTCCACCACATTGCTTCAGGTCCTTAAATTTCGCAGACACCAACATCCAGAAGAGCCCCCCATTCACCAGCTTCTCAAATGAGATATTAAGTCATCTGACATTATCAAAACAAAACCATAAAGGCACTTATCGTCACACCACAGAATCATAGAAAGGTTTGGGTTGGAAGGGATCTTAAAGCTCATCCAGTCCCCCCGCCCTGCCCTGGGCAGGGACACCTTCCACCAGCCCAGGTTGCCCAAAGCCCCGTCCAACCTGTCCCTGAACCCTTCCAGGGAGGGGGCAGCCACAGCTGCTCTGGGCAACCTGTGCCAGGGCCTCAGCATGCTCATAGCGAAATGTTACCACAGCACAGGTAAGATTACACATTTTACGCATAAGCACAAGTATTTCTTCTCTTTGCACGGACACAAATTCACAGGCCCACCACATTACCCCAATTTTACTTAAAACAGCCATATTGCACAACACCACCACCCGACAGCTACACGGTCAGTACTTCACCAGCAAATACATTAAGTACATCTGGATATTAGTATTCATAATTAGCATGCAATTACAATATTTAGGGCCAGGTTTTGGCAGACATCCAAGAACAAGCCTGGTTATTAGCTAATCTGGCCCTGTGTGGTATCTTGTCAGAGTCAGGCAGGCCAGTGCTCCCCTTGAAATTATCCCTCTGCACAACCAAATCACACCTGAAATAAATCCACCACCTCTGTAAATAACAACCTGTGTGAAGCAGAGTAGGACTCTTTCACATATCCTCACTTTGAGCACCTGACAAAAATTGAGTGGAACCAGGAATCAACTTAAATTACTTCATTTTAGCGGTTATAGAGCCCAACTAGACAGACCAGTGAGTTTGAAGTTCCTTACTATCTTTTACTCCCTTACACAATTTAATTATTTAACTTCTTATGCTCTCAGAGACCACAAGTCAAGTGTTATGTCTGTGACAAAAGGCTAACAGACTAATTATTTGACTTAAAATGGGGGAAAAAAAGGCTTCTGGGGAAAACCAGACCAAACGCAAGGCACCCAGCACTTCTGACTCATGGCTGGTGCTTCCTCAGTTTTATCTTCAGAATTTTTACCCTTTCTACTACATTTGCCTTGTGACTTCCTAAGGACCTGTCCCTCCCAGGGTATAGGGATGCAAGCTTATGTCAGTAAATTAAAAGAAAAACCAAAACACACAAAGAAAAATAAACCAAGCATGTGAGAAGGTGAGAGTATTCCACCAGGTCATTTCCTTCAGAAGAAAGCTAAAACGTTCCCCAAATGTGTGATGTTTTCCAGCATTTAAAGTCTAGTGTTTATATGAATCTCAAAGAAAAAAAAATCTGTGGACATTACATGCAGAGGTTAAGCCCCAAGGAAACCATGCAACCTCCTCAGGGAGCAATTTAGAACACATCCGTATGCTTCGTCAGCAATTAGATATCATCCGCAAGTTGGATTTACCAAATCTCTTACTCATACGAGCAGAAGGAACATTGACGCAATCAAATTGAGAAAAATACTGGTGTAACCAGGCTGTTTTTTTAAAAATTAGATGTATGATACATTAAAAAAAAAAAATAATGTGCAAAAATCACTTAATTCAACAGCATCCTACTGCTGGTAAGGGTTATAAATATAACTTAGTACTTTTTTCGTAACAAAATGTCCTATTTCAAAGCAGACCCTTCCTTCAAATGACCCCAAAAAAGTTCTGAACTAAAGTCCTCTGTGAAAACACTTTCAGCTTTGGGCCCTCATCCTGCATAACTATTCCTACAGGAATGCTATCATTAGATGATGCGCCGATTTAAAAGGACCAGCACTTTATGTAAATGGATCTTATTGCTTTTAATTGCAGCCATAATTATGGGAGTGCCTCACAACTGAGTAAGGCCACATTGAGCAAACTTACTGGAAACTTCGCAAACTGCTCCGCAACATATTGGATGAGCACCAGGAGTCCCACAACTGGTGTTTATTCAGTCCCATCTTCAGCTCTCTGCAGAGCATTGCAAAAGCAGTTGACCCTGTATGGGATCGCTTGGACTTGTACTTGGGTTAGTATGTTTTTGCCTCACATTAACTCATTTATCTTCGACATTTAGCAATATAAAATGTTTAATTCAGAATTAATGTTTTTAAAGATTTAAAAATCTTAAAAGATTTAAAAATCTTAAAAAGAGTCTTCAAGCTTCTTCAACATTAACTTCTTTTTGTCCTCCCCGCATTCCGAAGAGACACATGAGGCACAACAGGACTTGCTGGAGAGTCAACACTGAGACAGGCTACAAGGTGTTGAGTATGAGCGGTGAGAGCAGTATCCGCTTCAGCAGCTCCCCTGGCACAGCCAACAAGTCACTGCTCATTGAAGACGCAGGCACAAGCATTGTGTGAATGACCCGAGGAACAGTGACGGAGTTTTCAGTTCAGCCACAGGCAAGTGGTGGCCCATCACAGCTGAATCAGGGTCCTCCCCTTAGTCCAGGTGGTTTGGAAACCACCAACCTTACTGAAATCCATTTCCATGCCCTG